GCAGGGACCAGGGGAACAAATCTGTAAGCAGCATTCCTCCATGGCCTGTGCTCCAGCTCCTGCCTCCAGGTTCTTGCCCTGAGTTCCTGCCTTAGGCTCTGTGATGAACTGTGACTTGGGAGATGTAAGCTGAATAAACCCTTTCCTCCCCAAGTTGGTATTGGTCAGAGTGTTTTATCACAGCAGTAGAGAAACAAACTAGGTTAGAAGTTGGTACTGATAGTGGGATATTGCTGTGACAGACCTGATGTTGGAGGACTGTGGAAGCATTTGGAACTTTGGGCTGGAAAAGTCATTGCGTGCTCAGAGTTTGTTGCTGTGGAACTTGGAGCAGTTATGTTGAAAGCATTGAGGACGATGGAGGCCTGGTTTGTGAAGCTTCAAAATTCAAAAGGAGGCAGAGACCATCAGGGCTGTTTGTGTGATGTTTTGGATTGAGAATCTGTGGGTTCTGGTTGGTTGGGGCTGAAGAATTAGCTGTGATTAAGAAGAGACCAGAACCTGAAGTAAAACCTTTGCATTACTGGGACAATTGATGCTGGTTAGCTGGGGCTGAAAAATCAGCTGTAACAAGAAACCAAGCAGCATCACTGTGGTGAAATCTTCCAGGAGGTATTTCCTCAGGGTCAGCATAGAGGGGACCAGAGCCTCTATTTCAAGCTGGAAGCAGGACTTGATAATGTGTAAGAGTCTCCTGCATGGTTCTGGTGTTGAAAGCGTGAAGGGGTCATAGAGAGCAGCTGAGGCTTGGCACTCTGAGAGGCCAGGAAAGGCCATAGGTGAAAGTGCAGCTTCAGTTACAGCGAAGAACCCAGAATTGAAGGGGTCATGGAGAGAATCTGAGGCTTTGCACCGCAGAGACAAGAAGAGTGAAGGTGTAGCTTTAGTTTCAGTGGGGACCCCAGCGTTTTGGAGATGCCAGGACCATGGGATGACCACCAAGGACAGCAGTAAGTGTGGAATGGAGCTGGCCTGGTCTTCGAGAGGAGGTGTGTGTGCTGTGGATGGCAGAGTCAGAGAAGTGGAGTTGCCAGAACCCTTTGGAGCCCAGAAGATCTTGAGTGAATCCCAGATGTTCAGCCTCGAGCTACTTTGCTGGACTTTGGTTTTGCTTAGGTGTGCCCGATTCTTCCCTTTGAAATAAGACAGTACTTGTTTTGGATTTTACAGAAGCCCACCCACAGGTAAGAGAGTTTCAAAAGAGACTATGGACTTTTAGGTGTTTGGATTTTTTAAGGACTGTGGGGCTTTTAAGGTTGTACTGTCTTATGTTGTGATATTAATGTTAACATCATATCTTGGGGACAAGAACTGGAAGTTATGGTTTAATAGTGATGTGTTTGTATGTCAAGTTGACAAGGGGTCAATTGTGCTGGATAGCTTTAGTATCAACTTGATATACCTGGGTTGAGGGAGCCTCAACTGGGGAATTTCCTTCATTGGACTGCCCTTTGGCCATGTCTGTGGGGCACCTTCTTGATTGTTGAGTGATGTGGGAGGGCCCAGCCCACTGTGGGTGGTACCACCCCTGGACAGGTGGGCCTCTGTCACATAAGAAAACAGGCTGAGCAGGAGCCAGGGGAACAAATCAGTAAGCAGCATTCCTCCATGGCCTGTGCTCCAGCTCCTGCCGCTAGGTTCCTGCCCTGAGTTCCTGCCTTGGGCTCCCTGATGAACTGTGACCTGGGAGATGTAAGCTGAATAAACTCTTTCTTCCCCAAGTTGGTATTGGTCAGAGTGTTTTGTCATAGCAATGGAGAACAAACTAGGACAGGTACTTATAAAGGTGTGGGCACCTTGGGCTGATTTTTTCCCTACATCTCTGCCCTGCAGTAGCTTCCAGATCTGCTGCCGCAGTTCCAAGATGACAGAAGCGCCCTCCTAATCTCTGGCTTCCCCTGTGTTTATGCTTAGTCCCTCCCCCCTCATGCAGTTAAGGCTGACTGTTTGGGTGGGAGGGGTGACTGACTTCCTCTGCCCCTACCCTCCTATGGAGGGTCTTACAGTCCAATTAGTTTGAGATGATTGAAGCAAGCAGTGAGAAAGTAAAGGAGGACATTGCTGGTCACATGGAGGACAAGCTCATCCAACATCGTGTACTTTAATAAGACCCTGGGGAAGTGATGCAAAGGCGTTCCCAAAGGCCTCATTTTGTGAAGTACATTTCATTCTTGCCTTCACATTAAACTCAGGACTCACCATTGGCCTTAGGAGAAATGGGTGCCCACTCTTGAGTGTGCTTTGAAGTTTCCGCTTAATGATAATATCAAGATGTGGTGCTTTATGCCTGTAATCTCAGCCCTTGGAAGGTTGAGGCAGGAGAATCATTCTTGGTTCAAGGCCTCCCTGAGCTACACAGTGAGCACCAGGCTAGTGTGAGCTACAGAGTGAAGCCTGTCTCAAACACAAACACAATTTGTTTTTTAAGAAAGGAAAGGTTTCCAGGATATCATCAATAAAGTCTCATCTCAGAAAGGCTGGTTCACAGCAGGGAGTTCATTGAATTGTTCCGTACATTCTGAAAGTTCTAGGAGTTGTGATGTGTAAGGACGGATGTTTCCCCACTGGGGTGTGACCTCTGAGGAAATTTACCATCAGAATTTAAAATATTTTTCTCAGCAATTGTAAGGCGGTAGCCTCTGACCTTGGTGAGGTTTGCCTTTTTACACCTCAGGTTTATGGACTCTCTCAAGAAAAACAAACCCCAGTGCAGTCTTGCCAACAGTGATGAACGTGTACAGCACACTGGGTTTCTTTAAAAAAACCCAAAGATAAAATTTGCCTCTGTACAATCCCACCTGCCTTGGCAAGCCAGAGCCCTGCTGAGAAGAATCGTCATTAGCAGAAGCCAGGTGTGTAGGAATGTGTGGTCTTCCGCCGATCTGTGGGCTGGCCTGCTCTGTGTACATGAAAGCTGCCTCAGCCGAGCATGGTTGCTGGCGGCAAGCCAGAGCCCTGCTGAGAAGAATCGTCATTAGCAGAAGCCAGGTGTGCAGGAATGTGTGGTCTTCCGCCAATCTGTGGGCTGGCCTGCTCTATGTACATGAAAGCTGCCTCAGCCGAGCATGGTTGCTGGCATATATGATTCCCACCCACTGTGTCCATTTGTGCAGAGTCCAGGGAGGGGCTTGCTCGCCAGTCACATGCAGAAAGGCAAAGATGAGCAAATACTTCCTCCAGCAGCAGCAGTTTATAGTTCAGATGAAAGAATGCTTTCAAAAGTCAGGTCAAATATGGAAAACAATTTTATTTCTGAAACCCACATTATTTTTATAATTCGAATGCCTTCTCTGAAATTTCTTGTTCCTAAATAAATACCTCAAAACAGAATTTTGAAAAATAAACTCAAGTATTAACCACTACATGATATTGTTTTTAGGGCTGTTTTCTAACTTTTATGGATAATTTGTAACTAAAAGATGCATTGGCCAAAATTCCATTGTAAATATGCTTTTTCCTCTTACTCTCATGTGCTCTGGCTGTTTCTTCTCTCACATCATCTTGTCATACCAGAAGCTCGTGAACCTCAACTTTCTGAGTTGTAATTACATATTCAGAATTTCTTACCTTCTTTCCCAGTGTTAAACAGTGACTTTGTAGTACACACACTGAAATAAAGCTAGGAACAAACATAAACACAGCAGGGAAAGACAGGAGAATTCTTGTAGGGAGGGGCAATATGGGATGTGGTGTTTGTTAGAAAAATATATAAGTAGAGGAGCAGAATTCTGCACTAAATACATAACACTAGAATGGGCAGCTCAAGAGAGGTCTGAGTCGTGTGAGTTACATGGGACCTACCAGGTGGGTTCCATAAGGGTGTCTATGGAAGAGTTTATTAAATAACATGAGGATCAGCATACCTGAGGACAGACACGTAGAGAGAATAGATACGGCTTTACTACATAAAGCTTACAGGACACCGGGTTTGCCTCTGAGAGAGGCAAGTCATTGGAAAATTCTGAGGACATTACCTGATTTATGTAGGCAAAGGATCACTTTACCTTCTATATAGAGATCAGACCAAGGATAATAAGTTTGAAAAAGAAGATGGTTTAGAATTTATGGACATATTTAATAAGGTTGATGACCAAAGTCTGTATCAGACATCATGAGCAGAAAAACCAAAATAACTGATCACAATCTGAATAGTTTGAGAATAAATCAGCTTTCCTCATTGGTTTTACATAAACTGTCCAAAGTAAGGTCAAGTGGAACTCCAGGGTTCTCTTGGATTGTGCTGCAACTGTCTGTGCAGAAGTGGACAATGGATGGGGCTCGACCCCAGGCAGGTACCAGAGCTGAATGCGAAGCTTACCAGGTTTAGAGTGTCCATTAGAAATCCAGGTTGAACACTCAAGTGGCATGTCTGTGGAAACAGTCAAGTTTAGACAGAGAAGTATAAGATACTATTGTTGTTCATGTGCACCTCCTTCATCACAACTAGAGTGGATATGGTCAAGAAAGCACAGAATGTAAGAGAACAAAAGGAAATTGGTCACATCCCAAGATGGGAGTGGGAGAGAAACTCAAGAACCACGTCATCAGACCTTTACAAAATGATGTATGTGTACAGATACATCTTTAAAAGAATAAAAGAAAATAATACTAGTTTGATGGGGATATCGTGTGCACTGATAGTGAAAAGCGACCTGCTGTTCTTGAGATTTGAGAATAATTGTGAACGTTGTGGTGAGTTCAGGGCTCCTGAAGGAAGGGACATAATAAAGACTGACAGTTGACCCCAGTGATCTGATAGAGGGTCATAAGGTAGATGCATAAGATCTGGTTGCCATGTTCTGCTGTGTTTGTGTAGATGAACAGCAGGCTTAGAATTGAGTTTAACCTACTTGTCAGTGTGACCAGGAAAAGATCATAAGTCTCCACTTGGAGAAAAACACAGCTATGATATTTGCTATAACCAAGGAACCAAGAGAATTATTGTGACTTCTGGGGAAAAGTTGTGAAAAATATCTCTCATGTTCTTTTCTTTTAAATAGCAAAACCTGAACTGACAGCTGAGAGGAACTAACAGGAAGACACCGAGTCCTCGAACCTAGAGCTATCTCACGGAGAAGGACTTCCCGGAAAATAGATTCACTGGGAATTTTATGAGACTAGGAAGTAATCTTGTATTACATCCATGATTTTTCATCATCTAAATGAACAAAGGTTAAGTGACAGCATTTTCCAGGAGGCAGATTGATCACAGGACATCTGATAAGAATTGTGTGGACAGTTGCATAAGTATGTCAGGTTTTTGTTGGTGGTGGTGGTGGTTTATTTAGAAAGAAAAATACAAGCCTTTGTACTATTTCTGATTAGTTTTGCTATGAACCGAAAATCTCTCTTAAAAAAAAGAAAAAACCCAGTTTAATTAAAAAGTCCAATTTGTTACTTTACCATCAATTATTAACAGTACATTAGGGTAAAAGGATGGAATAAAGGTATTCCCAACAAATTGAGCTAATCACAAGGAGACATAGCTATTCTAGTATCTGACAAATTATACTTCAAACTAAAACTACTTAGAAGAGATAGGGAAGGACATTCCATAACCTTTAAAGGAAAAACAAGAACAGGATATTGCAGTCCTAAACATACGTGCATCAAAGACAGGACACCTGATTTCATAAAATATCTACTAGATCTAAAAATCACACTTTGACTACAACACGTGTCAACCTCTGTCACTCATTTCATTCAGAGGAAAATTACAGAAAACCTGGATTGAAATAACATTGTAAATCAAATGAATTCAACAGATATTTACAGAACACTCCACTCAGACACCCCAGAATGTTCATGCTCCTTGTAGCTCATGGAACTTTCTCCAAAGCTCAGCTACATATTAGGAAGCAAAGCAGGTTTCCACAAAATTAGGAACATTGAAACAACATCCTGTATTCTACCTGACCACAAGAAGCATAAAACTAGATATCAACAAAAATAGAAATGGGAAAAAAATGCACAAACTCCAAGAAACCGAACAGCACACTGCTGAGTAGATCCTGGATCAAGAGGAGAATCAAGAAGGAAATTTAAAAATTCCTACAATTGACTAAAAATGGAAACCACAGCACACTAAAATCTATAGGGCACAATGAAGGCAGTCCTGTGAGGAACATTTATAGTCTTAAGTGCCTAAATCAGAAAGGTAGAGACATGTCATATAAGAAATTAAATGATATTCCTGAAGGCCTTGGAGAGCAAACAACACAGAACACCTGAAAAGAGTGGATGGGAAGAGATAAATAAAACCCAGGCCAAAATGAATGAAGTAGAAATTAAGGAAACTACAAAGAACCAATGAAATGAATTGTTTCTTTGCAAAGAAAAACAAAATTAGCAAAACTGTAGCCAAGTTCACCCAAAGAGAATAAAAATTAATAAAATCAGAGATGAAAAGGGAAGCATTAGCACACCCTGAGGAAATTCAGAGATTCATAAAGACAGACCTTTAAAATGGATGTTCTTGGCCAGAGAGATGGTTCAGCAGTTAAGAGCACTAGCTGCTCTTGTAGTGGACCTGGGTTTGATTCCCAGCACCCCCATCGTGACTAACAACTGTCTGTGATTCCAGTTCCAGGGGCTCCAATGACCTTTCGTGAGCTCTGTGGGCACTGCATGACGTGTGTGTACTTATTTCCATAAAGGGAATATACTCGTGCACATAAAAAATAAAGTATTTTTAAATTTAAAGTTCACTAAACAGGAAAATCT